GGGGAGAAGGTCTTGGTACAGTATGTATTTATTGTAGCTTTTGAACCCATTTCCAGTGGCCAGGTTCAAGAGAGCTGCCATGTTCATGTCATGCAGAGATGTCATAAAGATGAGTCAAAGGGCAACAACTAATGAGGAAGCTCTTCTCTGTTTTGATTATGGAATCCCCCAAGAGGATTAGTGGCTGCCAAAATACTGTTCCTACAATTGGTAGAAAGTGTTGCTAATGGTGAAGGCAGCCTCAAGTTATAATTCAGCCATTGCTAGAATGCCACAGATTGCCTGAACCTGAGATAGTGATATTGTTATCACTTAGGCCCCAGATTCCAGTAGGTTGCTAGGTAGAGAGCTTTTAGTGGGTGGCATTCCTTCATTTTGTCACTGTCACTGCTGCCACTGCTTTGCCCTTTCTTTTCAGCCCAACCCACACAACTTCCAAAAGAAAAAAGGGGGTGGGAGGGAGGGAGGGAGGGAGAGAGAGAGAGAGAGAGAGAGAGAGAGAGAGAACTGATGCTGTTGCTCTGTTTTGCCACCCTTTCCAATGCTTTTTTGCTCAAACGTAGCAGGCAACTAAAGTCAGCAAGACTGGCAGGACCAGGAAGTACCATGGAGGGGGGGGCAGAGGAGTGTTCCTTGCAGACATATTAACCTTGGCAGGTACTTAATTACTTCTTGCACTACCCCATGAAAAACATGCATTTGAACTGCTGTGGGAGCTCATTTTGTACCAGTCTGAAATAGATCCCTTCTTACCGAGTAGTACCACGAAAGAGGAGGCTGGATCAGCAGTGTGCAGCATGTTCCTAAATCTCTAGGCAACAGAAGCCCTGGTTGGTTGAGGTATTGCGTGCTAGTCTAGGGTGGAATCAGGTCCTTATTCAGTTCAGAAGCTGTTGGCATGGCCATGGGCCAAGTATTCTCGTTCTACCCTAATCTGAATCATGGGGGTGTTATGAAATGGGGAAGAAACCTGCAGGTTCCATTAGAAGAAAGATTGGAAGATAAATGAGATGGAGAGAGATGGAGAAAGAGAGAGATTAATGGCTTGATCCTTCAACTAACCTTGCCTTATTTTAGTCTTCCTCTTCTTCCCAGCTTCTTAGCACAATGTCCTGCTACCTGACTGATCAGAATGATCCTCTAGCCAGCCACACCTGTCAGAGCATTTTAATTCCAAAAGGCAGTCAATCTCCAGAGCCCTCCTTTCCTCTGCTGCAGATGGAGCATGCCCTTGGGATGAATTTGGGAAATCCTCACGACTCCACTTGAGCCAGAGGTTTTTCTTCTTTGCATAATTATTTTTACAAGCTTCTGAGAAGCAAAGTGCAAAGGAAATTGAGCTCAGCAATAAAACAGAAGAGCGGAATTTCCTGCTGACTGTTGCTAAATATGGCCAGGACTCCCAGTGTCCACAGTGGGGTGGAGCAGGTGGGCCAGCAGGTGAATAATCAGAGGGCCTTGCCAGGCTATTTCTGGAGTCCATTTAGCCCAGCAGCATCTTACGCATGAGGAACTATGGCTCCTCTTGAGCTCGGACAGCTTGCATAGCTCCTGTCACCCATAGCTGATCAGGTGTGCTTGGAATTGCCAAAGACACCTGGAGTTCAGTGGTTTGGTGATGGCTTTTTACGGGCTTTTGGATAGCTTTTATATAGCTTTAGCACTTAAGTTATGAAGTGATTGGTGATTGGTTTAGGTTTTTCTTTTTAAAGTACCATTCTATAGTCAAGGATCTATACCAATCAAAGCCACAACAAAAGAACAATTAAATGTGAAGACATAAAAGGGTGTAATTGTATGAATTGTACAAATCATCAGGGCAAATTCAAATAGTTAATAGTTTGGAAAATGCATCTTGAAAACTTGAAAAGAAAATAGAAGAGGACTAGAAAAGTAGAAAAGAGGTAAGATTTAGGTGAGCTTTTCTGGGGGACAATTTCTCAAGCCCTAAAAAGGCCTCCTTTTGGGTAGCACCCAAAATATATATAGATTCCATCTTACAATGAGAGCTTCTATTTTAGCTCAAATTATCTTAAATACAGATTTGACAGATTTCTAAACATCTCAGAATGTATAGCTTTCTCTTCTCAGGGTCTCCAACAGAGAGAATAAAAGTTCAGTATACCTGTTCTTAATTAAAGCTTTTGCTATCAACTTTTGCCTACCTCATATTCACGTCATTTAAATTCCCCTCCAGAATAACTAGGCAGACCCATCTCCATGCATGGGCAATTGATGGAGCTTTTGGCCTTCCAGATGTTGCTGAATTACAACTCTCAGCAGCCTGAGGTAAGGTGGCTAATGCTAAGGGATCTGGGAGTTGTAGTTCAACAACAACTGGAAGGCTTCATTTTTTGGACACCAATCCTATTCCATCACCCTCAGTGCATATGTTGAGATCTGGCAAACCTACTCCAGGGCTTAATACAATCCACCAGCCCCTGTGCAGCATCATATGACAATGTTTCTGCAGCCTGTTAACTGATAATCTGGACTGCCACACAAACAAAATCTGTATGAACATTTTAACCTTGCAAGACTGCCATGTTACATTCCAGCAAAAGGCTGGGCACGAGTGGACTATTAGTAACATTTAAATTAATGAATATTTTCAAGAATAAACAGCAAAAAAAAAACCAGATTGTTTCAATCGAGTGTTGTTGGTTTTTTGTAACGTTCTGTTCCTATTGAGCCTGCTGAAGTATCAACTCTTGTTTTATCAAGAATGTCCAGTTGGTCAAGGATAAAGCAGTTCAGATTAGCTGGGGAGCTGTCCAGTATGAAGAATAGTGTGAGAGATGTTGCTTTAGCAATGGCTAGGCTCCAGCTGCGCAGTTGTGTAAGTGACTTTGCTGTTTATGTCTTTCTTCCTTGCTTTTTCCTGGCTTGACTGGTTTCAGAAAGGCTATTTTGTCTTATCTTCATCCTAAGAAAATGGTCAGGGAAGAAACCCTTTTCAAAAGTTTATTGAGGCTTGACATGTTTTAGAAAAGAACAAGACCTTTCTCAGGGCATTCAGCAACCTGCAAAAGTAAAATTTATTTGTTTGTTCATTTATTTTCTGGCTTTACTATTTTTATAAATAACTTAAAGCAGTGAACACACACAATGCTTCTGTCTCCTATTTTCCCCACAACAACTCTGTGAAGTGAGTTGAGTGGAGAGAAGAGTGACTGCCTCAAAGCCACCCATTTGGCTTTCAGTCTCCTGGCTTCTAGTCTGGTGCCTTAACCATTAGACCAAAATGCCATACCTCTCACTTTAGAGCTATAGTAACCCTATATGATCAGGAACCCAAATATGAACTGAAGAAATAGAAAAGTATATTGCAAATTCTCCATGAGACAGTTTCTCCTCTGGCAATGTTGATGTTCAGGGGGGGGGGGGAAGCCAACAATAGATTTGCCTTTGTTGATCTGAGAACAAAGAAGGCAAAAGCAGAATGAGTTGGAAACTCACCCAGATCTTAGCCTCTGGCAGTTTTTGCAATCTTCAAGATCTCATTAGAGATGCTGGCTTACCATAGGATGGTTACTCATCTTTCTCACCGGTAGCTAAGTACTGGAGATATTTCCCTGACCCATGGGAGTCTCCTTCCATTGTCTCCAATCTATTCTGGGAAATCATTCCACTAGATGGTGTTCCTTAACCTTGAATTATGTCACTCATCTTCCTCAGCCATACACCATGCCGATTGTAGCTGATGGTTATCAAAACTAAAAAAAAGAGAGACGGAGCTGTCTTGAGGAAAATGACATGGAAGGAACAGATAAAGGGAAGCAGTTTAGATGGGGAAAAGTGATTGGGTGAAAGGCTACTCCTTGAGGCTCAGTTCAGGACTGCTCTGTCTTGGAATCTGAAGCAGGGGCAGAGGGTATGTTGCAAGCTGCCAAACGGTTTGATTTCCTCTGCGCTTTCTTTTTGCACATACACGCACCTCTGCCCAAAAGCAAATATCACAGAAGCAGCTCAAAGGGAAAGAAGGAGATCTAGACTGCTGCCCGGCTTGGGATGACGTGGAATGAATAAAACACATTTTATAAACTGTAAAAGCTAGAGTAAGTAGAACAGATCGTGTTAAAGCTGTATGGCCTGCTTTAAAGAGAAACTGGAGGGAAAGCCAACCCAAAAGGCAGTATAGCAGCCATATTTATTGTGCTGTAAGTTTTCCTCAGAGGCAGGGCATGTTATTTGCTGCTATGTCAGGGGTGCATATGTAAGTATATTTGCCAATATAATGATGGAGTGGAGTTGTTTGAACAAAAGGCCTTGAAAGGTAAGGGGCCCTTATTACAATCAGGGCCTTTCCTGCTCGAAGGCCTTTGGGGAATTTCTGTTAAAGGGTGTGTGTTCATAAGCTTCCAGGTTGTCTTTGGCTGATCACACAGAGAAATCAACGATTCAGGCCAATAGGCTCTTGCTCCTCTAAGGCAGTGGATCTCAACGTTTTTAATGCCGTGACCCCCAACCGGTCGTAAGTCGAGGACTACTCAACCGGTCGTAAGTCAAGGACTACTCAACTGGTGCAGCACCGTTTGCAGAATGGGACTTTTGGCGGGCTCAGCAGGGCAGAGACAGCCTGGACAATTCCTATTGGCTTTTGAAAGCCAATAGAATTAGACTCTATTCAAGAGAGTCTATTCTATTGGCTTTCAAAAGCCAATAGAATAAAAGGGAGTAGCACAGCTAAGGAAAAGGGGGAAAAAATGGCGGACTGCGTTGTTTGGCGACCCCCATGAAATGGTCGTTCGACCCCAAATGGGGTTCCGGCCCACAGGTTGAGAACCACTGCTCTAAGGGCTCTTTCTCATCCTGGTTCAGTGCAGGCCACGGCTGCCTCTCATCACTCTTTGCCTCATGCCTTAATGAGGAACAGCAAAACAGCGTCCGATCTCCTGAAGTCTCTGGAGGGCTCTGTGCTCTGAAGACAGATCCGAGGGGGCTGCCACTCACAGAGGGAGGAACCTCCTTGAGAACAGCACCTTTAACTGGAGCATTGCTGTTTTTTCAAACATGTTTTATTAGCAGACATTCGCCACCAGATTAAAACAATGGATGAAGAAAGGCCCAAGAGGTACAATAACTATGTGGATGGTTGGTTTATGCAGTTGCTAGAGACAGGGAGTGACCTTTTTCTCAGTTTTCCAGCTTGGGGCTGCTGGTGGGACACTCCCTGCTAATAAAAATAGCGCAAGAGCCAGAAGGCTATGACTCTTTTCAGCCTGTTGTTCTTCTACATGTCATAATATCTTCCCTGTGAAAGAATAGGAGGACTTGGCCTATGTTTTCTGGATAGGAGAATGACATCCAGGATTTGGGTGCCCTTGTTCAGCTGGGCAGACTCTGGAGCAGACTTCCTTGCTGACTGTGCTGATTTAGCCCATGAGCAGGAACCTCAAGAAGACCACTCTGGTTGCTACCTCCACATTCTCACCAAGGGTTTCCATGGTTTTAATTCGCGCTGTCTCCTAGAGTGAACTTGAAATACTAATGCGGTCTGCCAAAAGTAAAAAGAACAAAAAAACGGAATAAGTATCACATGATGCACTTCAGTGCAATTTGAAGTTCTCTAAATTAAGCTAATGCATTTTGAATAAAAATAGGAATTGATTGGGATAGGAGAATCAAGAAGAAAGAAAACAGGGTTGTGGCAGCCAAATATGTGCAGCAAGAGCTTTTAAAGCCCCTCAGTTGGTTCACAGAATTACATTAATACATTATAAAGCCATCAGCCCAAGATTGACCTCTTAGGCCCTGCTCTAGGGAGAAAGACCAGGTCCCTTCTGTTTCCTGTTTCATTTAAAATGGTCTTTGACCATTTGGAAGCCCCTCCCCCAATTTAATAACTAAAAGTTTAGACTAGAGTAAACTAGACTAGACCATAGAATGGAATGCAATGGAATGGAAGAGAAGAGAAGAGAAAAGAGAAGAGAAGGAGCCTGGGGGTAGAGTCAAGAGGGGAATTAGTCTGGAATTGTTAGATTGCCACAAGCAATCCAAGTCTAATCCCCCCTCCTTGAATTCATTGACTCTTATCTAGTGCCAATCTAGTTGATTAGATTCATGTGTATAGGCATGAGCAATAAAACTTCTTAACCAAAGCTTAACATGTGTGATTCTTAGCACCTGATAACAGAACAGAACAAATAGAACAGAATGCTCATGGGACACCAACCTTGAGTGTCAGAAGCTGACCAAATCTAGGCAAGGCTTTAAAAATCCTGTCTGAAAACAGGAGTTTTGCTGCTCCATCTAGGCAACCTATTGTAATACAGAACAATGCTCTGACTGAGTGTGGAGCTTCCTCTTATTTTTCCTGTATTGGTGATACAGTGGCAACCAGAAGGAGTCCTTGTTCCATATACTTCAGGTGTTTTTCTTAGGCTGGAGGGTTTTTCTTTTAAAGTGTAAATAAACATTTAAAGCCTTGTGCAGCTCAGCGACAAGCTTCACAGTGTCACCATTGAACTAGGCATTGGTTTCATCTAGGCATTGTTTTCAGTCCCTTGGTCCACCTTGGGCTGATAGAAGTGCTAAAGGAACTAAAAAGTATTGACCAATATTCATTAAAGTGCCACCTTTCTTGTAGGCTTAGACCTTAGATTTAGCAGGTCTTAAGAAAGGTCTATTTTCCCAAACTGAATGCCATCCAGATTATATGTTCATGGAGCTCAACAGGGGGAAACTTCTGAAAGTTGTTTTAAATTGGGCTTAAATAAATCTGGAGTGAAAGGAAGTCTCTTGAATTGAGAGTTATGGAAAGAGAGGCACCACAAACACCTTTCCCATTCTCCTCTGAACCCAACTCAACACCAATACTCTTAAAGGTCAAAGGTATCACATTTTCCTCTATTTTTAAAATTCCAAACTGCCTTGCATTTGCAAACAGTCCATTCTGTTTCAGAAATCCAATTAAATAGAGATTTAATCAAATCACTGAACCTAATTAAATTTCCACATCAGACTGTTGAATCAAATTCGTCATGGCCCTTTGTGCATATACAAAAATACTTTTTTTCCCTGGCTAAATCCACTTTCCAAACAGAGTGAAATCAGTTTAAGAGGGATCACTTTTAAGAAATCCAAACCTGACCAGTTGAGAAATCAAATCACAATGACTGTGAAATCTGCATCTAAATAACTAAATGGATCTGATCTGTTTCCTTTGTATGGAGTAAAAGTAGCTGTAAAGATTCAGAGAGAAAAAAAAATAGGCAGAGGATATAATTGCTGAAAAAATGGGATCTGTGCTGTGCACTAAGGTGGGGAGGGGCTTTTATATCAGCCTGTGTCTATTCTCTAAGTAAAGCTTCATATACTGGATTTGAGAGTCTAAAAATCAGCTTGTAATAATCAGCTGGCCAAAAGAGACACTGGGACAGATTCCCCCAATCCCCTTGAATTTTCCAGATCCTGTTGTCCTTTTTGATCTGGTCCTCTTCATTTACCGCCAAGAATGCTGAGATGCCAGAGATGCCAGAGGACAAAACTGACTTTTGTTCCATAGCGTCAAAGCCAACTTTTGACTAAGATGCTTTTAATCTTGAACTGTGCTATTATTAGCAAAACACCTTGCCAGGGTGAAAGAAAGTGAGCAGAGTCAGTCTCTCTTAGCCAAAGCATTGTCAGGTTAGAGATGTGACAAAATGATGAGAGGAGAAGCAGCAAGAGGAAAAAATTACAGATACGGTTTAGAAGAAAATAGATGCTCCTCGCCGCTGCGATAATGGTGGTGCACAAGCAGGATAAGCAGGGATGCCAGTTTAAATTTAGAAAATCTCTGGAAGAACGCAATTGATTCTGAAATGTGCTTCAATGACCAGACAGACGAGTTCAAAATCCAGAATCAGTTTCCTTGAATTTTGCTTAGTAACTTTAATTCTAAGCTTAACCTACTGCAAGAGGGTTCCTGTGAGGTTATTCTAAAGGTGGCAAGGGGATAGGAGGAATCTTGATGCAAGAAAACTCCTTGGGGGGAAGACAGACTAGGAAGAGGGATGCTAAATTGTCAACCGGTTGAAAGAGAAACAGCCTATCCTTCTTTTCTTTTCTTTTTCTTCTTTTCTTTTCTTTTCTTCTTTTTCTCTTTTTCCTTTCCTTTTCATTCTGAATAGCAGCACAATTTGCAGAAATGCAAACAATTGTTATGATTTTGGTCAACTCACAGTGATAAATGCAATTGTTGCATTAATCATGATTGCTCTTCTTTTCCAAAGAAAGTTTCCCTGCACGGAAGGCTAGAGTGACAGATATTGACCAGCACTTTCTTAGCACAATATTGGGCCTTGGACTTCTTAACTGAATTCCAGGAGTCTGCTCTATCTGCACCATACAGGTAGTCCTCAGCTTATGGCCAGAATTGAGCCCAAAATTTCCGTTGCTAAGCAAGACAGCAGTTAAGTGAGTTTTGTCCCATTTTACAACCTTTCTTGCCCCCATTGATAAGTGAAACACTGCAGTTGTCAAGTTAGTAACATGGTTGTTAAGTGAATCTGACTCCCCATTAACTTTGCTTGTCAATTGGTCTCAAAAGATGATCACATGATCCTGGGACATTGCAACCATCCCAAATACATGCCAGTTTCCAAGTGTCTGAAATTTTGATCATGTGACCACAGTCATAAATGTGAAAAACAGTCATAAGTCACTTTTTAAAGTGCCATTGTAACTTCAAGTAGTCATTAAATGAAGGTCTGTAAGTCAAGGACTACCTGTATGGATAGTTATTCCAATCACAGGATTTTTGAGAAGTATGGCACCAGAAGCTCATTAAAAGCTCATTTAAAAATTTGCAACCCAAAATGCAGAAGTGACCACTTAATCATAGAACAAAACTCCTTTGGAGATCTTTCAAGATTAGGAGAACAAAATTTCAGTGGCGTGATTTTATTACAGATGTTCAAAGTGAAGTGCAAAGTTGCATCTGCCAGAATCCTATCTCCTATAGAAATACATTTAAAGCTTTACTCGGTATACCTGAGTCAAGCTGAGAAACACCCAGTTTAAATGTTCTCTTTTCCTTGAATACTGTATGACAGACATGTCAAACATAAGGCCCGGGGGCCGGATGCGGCCCGTGAAGTGGTCATGAAGCTATCCTGGAAACAGTGAGGGAACGGCCCCCGTTGCCTTTGCCCTAGCCCAAGCCAGCTGGGAGCCAATGTACAATTTTGTGGTGGCCATCTATGCTGAAACGCATTCAGTCTTAGCTCCATAAGCCCTCCCCTGCATGGCCTGAGAGGAACAGTGAGGCTCCTCTGGTGGACCATGCCTTGGCACTTGCCCTGGTCCCACCCCCTTCTTCCAGAGACCCTCAGATCTATCCCACTTCTGCCCAGGCCCCCACAGGCACCCTTGACGCGAACAATGTAGAGTTGGCCACACCCACCCAGTAGACCACACCCACTCCATCCATGTCCACCCAGTAGGCCGCACCCACCCTGGCCACACCCACTCAGCCCCCTGAGGGCAACTGCAATGCTGATGAGTTTGACATCCCTGCTGTATGATATCTTGCTGTTTCCTTTGCCAAAGGATAATAACAACAACAACTGACTTTTTGTGGCTCTTTCAAGAGTTATTAAAAATCATATTGATATATTTGCCTCCCTTGAAAATATATTTTCTGCAGCCTTCTCTCAAATACAATCTAAATTTAAAAAAACACCATGCAATATTTACCAGGAGATCATATGACAGTCAGAATGCTCCCTCCACATACACACACCCACTTCAATCAATGCTAGCAAATAATATACATTGGGGGGAAAGTATTTTAAGCCAGTCCTCTCAATGATCAATGTGCAATGATGCTGGGTCAATAGCAGAATATTAACCAGTATTTCTCCTATAATTTTTAAAGTAATATAGTCATAGGGCACCTAGGTTGCATAATATAGAGGCTCTTTGCAGCAGAACACTGGAGTCCAGTGTTACCCTACAGACCAACAAATTTAATATTGTTGCATAAATAGGTTATGTAATAGTGAATACATTAACCCTAAAGGTGCCAGAAGATTCTGCTGTTTTTACCAAGAGAAAATATAGAATCAGATGGCTGCCGTTCTCCCCAACAACCTCAAAGCCAAGGTCATGGTCATTAATTCTGATTGCATTTCTTTCTGCTCTCTTAGAGTTTATGATTGATTTTCTGTTCATTATTTTATTTAACTGTTTTCAGCTGACTATTTTAATAGAACAAAATCATTTTTAAAGGATGTATGTCCTCCATAATTGATTGCAATTTGTATATATTTTGTATCATCCCAAAAATCAGATGTGGTTCTTTCTTCCATGTTGGTAACAAGTGGCAAGCAGTCCTAAGAGCTTCTATAGAATTCACTTGTTCCATTCTATTGGGGGAGAGGGAGGGGAGTTGTTGACACTGTTTCCAAGGAAGTTGATATGACATACATTTATTTTGTTGGACAAAATTCTAGTTGTGTTTGAGTAAGCAAGTTGGTCCAATAAGAGTTTATCAATTTACCTAGTTTTTGC